GTGTTAAGAACACGAAACATGGTTCCACATTGAAACTTAAAAACACAAAATTGGTTTTTAACCAATCATAATCCTAAATTTAAAATAAAATATGTTTTAAGAACACAAAACATGTATTTAGCATTGCACATGCTCTAAAGATTATAATCTTATCTGATACTGTTTTCTCATACAATAATCCTTACACAATCAGCTTTTTTTTTCAATTTTCTCGTTATTTTACAGCTCCTTTTGGTCTACTACCCCATTGGAGGAAAATGAATGTATTAATTACAATAAGCGAACTTTCATAATTTTCTCCTTTTTTTTCAAGCACTCATAATTGTCTATAGTACATCTCTTAATATATCTAAATATAAGTTTCACTTTATTTTCCTAAAAAAAAAAAATATCTCCAAATATGATTGACAGGCACGTATCTATATTTAATAGAAAGAGAGAGAACAAAATGGATAAATTGTAGATGTGCGTGATGTTCCCTCTTGGGAGGGAGAGAATTTGAATAATTTGAGTAATTTGAGCTTATCAAACAAAATATCTTTGAAGCACTCCAACGTTGCTATGTTTTCAATTTTGGCCTTTCTATATCTATTTTATTAGTTTTGTAGTCTTAATCTTCATAACGTACGATTATTTCAACACTTATCTTATATACTCCCTCCGAATCTTAATATAAAGATGCTATGGCTAAAACACGAAGTTTCAAAAAAACTTTTCTTTTAAACAGAATTATTTAAGAAAAATTGGGCTCAATACCTATAAAAAAAATTATAATCTACTATGTAACTAATTGCCCTAAATCCAATGGTTACAATATGCCATATCTACCAATTTTTTTAGATTTTGAATTATATTTTTTTTTTATTATTCAGCTAATTGACCCATTATTTAATACACAAAATACAAACAATTCAACCAATTAAAAAAAACTGCGTAATACTATTGATTAAATTCTGAAACAATCTTATATTATGAAATTAAAAAAAAAACCTCTAAAATATCTTATATTAGAAAACGAAAAGAGTAATATTTTAAGGTTTTTCTAAACCAAAGTAATGAGATCA